TGGTAATTTTTGACTGTGTAACTTAAAAAATGGCACCACATTAATTTTTTTTGTGTAACTTAAAAAATGGCAGCCCATGAATGTGGTCTAACTTTAGATAACAGGATGACATTTACAAAATTTAGAAAATAAAATTCCGTAATTTATTTTTAACCTTTTTTGAACCAGGTAAATACCATTGAGATGACATAATGTCTTTTGTAAGGGAGGCCTGGGCATGAAGACAACATAATGAGCAMGTTCCTCTGTGGGAGGAAACCTGAAGAAAACCCACATGAGCACGAGGAGAACATGCAAAGTGAGACAATGGCAGAATGACCTGAGTTCAGAACTCAGTAAAAAAAACATAATTCAGGTTTAAACAAGTCACAAAGGTTGAACTCTACATGTGTGTGCAGGGGMGTGGTGGTGCAGAGGTTACACAAGGTGTGCCTGTCATCAGGAGGTCGTCACTTTGAATTCCTCAAATGTTGCATCAAACATTTGGGTGGGGAAAGGTGCAGCACTCACATCTGCCTCCTCCATCTGGGCCCCTGAGCAAGGCACCAAACCCCCACCCCTGATGTTGCCAACATCTTTCATGTTTTGAAAGGCTCTTACTTTCACAGTCTTGGCACTTGTTTTAGTTTATTCACCCCATGTGTCTCACTCCTGTAGGGTTTCTTTCTTTGGTCTCCACACGTCCAAACTTTCATTAACTTCCATTAAATCTCAGATCAGAACTTTCTCTTCAAACCTGAAAGAGCTTTTATATTCCACATTATATGGAAATGTGCCGGTGTGGCAGCATATTCAACTTTTCTTTTGATCTTGGTTGTTTTTACACTTTTTATGCAGTTCATGAAACAAAACGTCAACAGTTTGTCAGCTTAGATTATTACCAACTGTGGTGGAAGTATTGTATATCTCTGGATGACTGCATGTTTCCTTGACATGTTCCTGCTCTGTATCTCATTGATAACTGTCAGTGTGTATCTGTTCTCATAACGATGCTGTATGTACTCTGCAATCTTGTTGTTATCATGGCCTTTATAACTTGTAATTGTTTCATTGGCCTCTGTATATCTTTGTAGGATTTGGCAGGCTCTTATTTGTTAACAGGACTCTGCCTGGAAGTATATAATTGTCTGTTTCCTGTTTCTGGGTTAGTGTGAACTTGACAGATRCTCTGATCACGTCTRCCCGGTTCCACTTCTRYTAAATAATCTGAGAGCAGACCACGCAGTTTCACTTTGTTTATTCACGTATTCATGCCTGCTGGAATATTTTCCACGGCACCAACATACATTATAAATCTCTTCTAGGTGTTATAGGAGATGGTTTATCCATCTATCCATTATCTACTGCTTGTTCCAGAGTCAGGTCTCAGGGGCAGCAGCTTGAACAGGGAGGCCTCTCTTTCCACAGACCCCCTTAAAACTTGTCTGGGAGGTCTCCAAGGCCAACTGAGGGACATAATCTCTCCAATATGTCTTTGGTCTTCCTCAGGGTCTCCTCCCAGTAGGACATGACTAGACAGCTCCCTAGGACAATGTGGGTGGATGTTAAGATGTTCGTCTGGTTAGGATGTTCCCTGGACAGGTGTCCAGATGAACCACCTCAACTGTCTCCTCTCGATGTGGAGGACCAGTGGCTCTACTCTGAGCCTCCCAGATCACTGAACTTCTCACCCTCTCTCTAAGAGCCCAGCTACCTTGTGSAGAAAACTCATTTCTACAGCTTGTATCTGTGATCTTGTTCTTTTGGGCATCACTCAAAGTTTGTGACCATAGGTGAGRGTAGGAACGTAGACCGACCAGTAAACAGAGCATTGCCTTATAGTTCCCTCTTCACCATAACAGACTGGGACAGAGTCTGCAATAATGCGGAAGTTGCACCGGTCCTTCTATCAATCTCACGTTCCATTCTTCCCTCACCTGTGAACAAAACCTCAAGATACTTGAACTCCTCCACTTGAGGCAGAACTTCACCCCCAACCCAGAGAGAGTAATCCACCCTTTACGACTGAGGACCATGGACTCAGATTTGGAGGTTCTGATCCTCAGCTGCTTCACACTCAGCTGTGAGAGCTGAAGATCACAGCATGGAGACACCAACAGAACCACAGAATCCTGAGCCCACCAAATAAGACTCCCCCCACCCCGTAGCTGCACCGAAAACGGGCAGCCCTGGTGGAGTCCATCTCCCACCTTGAAGGGATCTGATTTACTGCCGGCAAAGTGAACCAAACTCTCGCACAGATTGTGTAGAGACTGAATGGCTCATAACAACACAATCCTATACTCATGTGAGGTTGATGAGTATGGGATTGTCTGAGGTTTGACCACTGATAGGACTCTCTTCTCCAGCAGTCCTGTGTATACCTCAATGGAGAGTGATGCCCCTATAATTAGAACATATCCTCTGGTCCGACCACCCCAGTCTGCCAGTCCAGTGACACGGTCCCCAATGTCCACGCAATGTTGCAAAGGCCTATCATGCAAGAAAGCCTCACAACATCTAGAACCTTAAAGGGATCATGATTAGTTGTAACATTAGACTTTATTTGATAAACATTTATTTTAACTGTAAAACAAAGACTAAAAATACTGTAGGCTGTTCAGTTTTATAA